CGTGTGTCGACAATCTGTCGGCTTCAGTCGCGTGAGACGTGTATAATAATTTGGCCCCACTGAAAGACGGTATATGGATATTGTGTTTCGTCGAGATGTGATGGGTCGATAACAGGAAGTTATATATGTACCTTCCCGCCAGAATTAACTTTCAAAAAAGTGCAAGTTTATGCAGTAAAACAAGCATGCGACGAATATACGATTTTTGTACATCTTTATTTACTTAAGAACACCCTGTTTCCTCTCCTGGAAGGCCCCTATTACCACCATTCCCTCGTTACAGGTGGCACTGCGCATAGTTCGGCGGGAATGCACATGTCTGTTTACCACCCAGGGAGTTTCCTGAATATAATGCCATAAAGACGATCTTTACTGTGGCCGCGGGTGTACTAGCAACTAAGAAGACGGTGACGCCAAAGGCATAAAGCCGGCCTTTGGCGTTGTATTCTCCGAGCGCGATCGGAGTGTGCGCCTGAGTCACGCTGTGGTCAATCCTTGAGGAGCAAAATATCGATCGCCGTCGCGTCGAGGATAAACCAAAAGTGCAGTCATGACCGGTGAAAGCACTCAACTGCGTTCGGTCGCAATCGCCACACCGAGTAGACCGCCACAATTTGCTCAGTATATCCGTGATTCACGGCCGCCGTCGCCGTCGTGGGCTTTTACGCAGCGACGAGCGTTTTGTAATGGAAAATCAATACGGACACACGACAGTTCGACCGTCGTGCCCGCAGATGTTCATCGTGTGCTCCACAGCAAGGTGCAGCAGGCACGGTGACTTGTGCGTGAATTAGTTTATAGTCAGTGTAGACTTGCACGCATTTACCGCACCCTCGCCTCCTCCTCCTCCTCCTCCTCCTCCTCCTCCTCCATCCTCCTCCTCCTCCTCGCACCTGGGCCCCGTGTCAAGACAGAGTCGAGACAACCGGAGTCGTGGGGAGGGCGCAGATGGATGACTCTGGCAGAGAAGGGACAAGACGATGGTAATTTCTGACTTAGCTTTCGTTGTCCGTCAACTGTGCCCGAGACTCGCTTGGGAAGAGCCCGGGATTTGAAACCGCGTACATTTGATCGTTGGGTGACCGCCTAGGATGGCGCTAAGATGGTGTTCCAAGGCAAAACGGAGTGCCGGTATTCTGTTCTACAGTCAAGTCAGGACAGTAGCCACAACTCTTATGTAACCTGAGATGCCTAAAACCGGTGCACAGTTAGACTCCGTGGACTGCTGTAAGGCTCTGAATATTTCAGAGTAATCGCTTATTCCCTCTGATCCCCGCGTGGGGTAAGCACGGGCGGACAGTGATAAAAGAAGTTGCAGTGTGCGGTAAGATTCCATGTCTTCTGCGTGGGGCATGTTTTCACACCAATAACTGAGTGTCGTCCCGGGATTTCTCCAAACTATTCATTAACAACAGTTAGCTAGAGTGGGAGGTTTTCGCTATAACTGAACCTACCGGTGAAGATAACTCTCGAATAACACCTGTTCAACGAAATCTGGAGCTCCAATATCCAGTATGCAGGACAGCCGTAGGAAGCCATAAATTCCTACTGCTGACGCATCAAATGGTCTATCTCCGCTGAATTCACCCCATGTCCAGCCGAACTCTCTTGCTCCAGTAAGCGATCATACCACTTGCATGAACTCCCACTGGTGGTGAGGGCAGGCGACGGTAGCCGGCGGGCCACACCCTTCCCCCCTCCCCCCTATCTTCCACCCCCCCCCCTCC